ATTTGAGCGAAAGTACTTTTCTCCTACAGATCTATGATATTTGCATCTTCATCATTTTGAATCCAAACTGCACACAGACTCATTTGTATATCTGGAAATACACTTGATCTTATCCAAGTTAAGATCAGAGGGGGTGGGGGTGGGGGGAATCTTAAATTTTTGCTGTCCACTGGTCATTGTGCTCAGGAATATTCAAAAGGGACAGCATAGGTGAGAAGAGCACTTGTTCTCTCAAATGTTAGCATTGTAGTAAGCAGGGAGAAACATTCAGATTTAAATTGGGAACTGCCATATCATCATCATCATCATAAATGTTGTTGTTGTTGTTGTTATTATTATTATTGCTGGGAAAAGCTCTAAAAAGATTAAAAAACATTTAGAAAGTCAATCAAAATCCTTATTAGCATACAAAGGACCTATCCCTAATCTTTTTCAATTGGTCAGCTCCACTATAAGCACCACAAGTTCCCTCCTGGTTTGACTGCAATGCCGGACTTTGTAACTTTGCTTCATCAAGGCTCAATTCCGTCATCAAAATGATCCCAAGGAGGTGCTCTTATTTCACGGTTCAAGCAAAGACCTCATTGGCACTTGGCATGGATGCTTGGTTACCCAATTAAATGCCTGGGGCTCCAGGATTTAAACTGCAGGGCAGCTGAATTGAAGGTGCCTTCAGTGACACAAGCATTGCTGGACTGCAGGAGGCCTAAATCGCAGGTAATAATAATAATAATATGAGACAAGTGAGGCTGCCTATGGACGATACCTTTTCCTAGACCAACCGCACAGTTGCAATGGACACCGGTGAGCTTGCAGCCATCCCAGAAGGGCACTGTGACCCCTGACGGCTTGCCCACATCCATCCCAACTGTGTGGCTGGTCAATATGACCCGTCCCTGCCCCCCCAAAATTGGTAGGTAGAAGATGAGGGCTGGATGGGAGGTCGTCTAGCGTTGCAACCCCTGCTCAAAGCAGGGCACATCTGTCCATCTCTACATCTAATCCTTGTGCACCCCCCGGGCGGTGCAGCCTAGCTGTCCTGACGCCTGCAAATAAAGGGGACTTTGGGGACACAGGTGGGCGGGGCGGGGCAGGCCTGGCTGCTGGCTCTGGGCAGAAGGAGCTGCA